AACTTTAAAATGTTTTCAAGTTTTTATGAGATTTGACCTAGATCAAGAAAATAAAGAAAATAAATATCAACTAGATAACGAGACTCTCAATTTAAGACGAAAATATTGATATTGCTCAAGAAAATATAATTCTCCAATAGTCAAAAGCTATGTTCAAGAGGAAAGAAGAATGCTAATTTCAAATTGACATAAATTTTAATTTAGATCATTATCTTTCTTTATGTTGAAAAAATAAAATAGAAAAACTATTTCTTTATTTCAATTGAAATCGTAGACACAAATCTAGAAAATAAAAAATTATATCTCAAACGACATTGAGATTTTCGATTTAGAGTCAATAATATTAATTAAGACTAACAAAATATAATTTTAGAACAATAAATAATGAAAAGAATTTAGAGAGAATTTTTTTGTGCTCTCCAACAATACTCTCTAGTCTCTATTATGGCTTTTATTTATATCTTTTTATATATTTATATATATAAATAAATATTTATATTTATGTGTATGTATAGGTTAAAAAATCTGATTTTTGAAATGTGAAAGTTGTTTTGTTATTTTTGAAATAGGGTAAAGATAAAGTAGGAGAAATGAATTTTTTCCTTTTTTTTTTTAATTTTTTTTTCCTTTTTTGTTTCTATAATTATTGCATCTAATTATATGTGTTCATTTTATGTCAAGCATCCATGATATGACTTTATGTCAAGCATCGATGATATGACGAGTCATCGATGATATGACAAAAATGTGCACACACATTGATTGCAACGTCTTCTGTTACCTCTTTGATCTTAAAGTTCAAGACAGACAATCTTGTAGTGACTCCCGAAATTAATGCTATCCTTTCCTTTTTTTTTTTTCATTTCTAAGATGATGTCTTGATTGTTTTCGACTAGAATTGTAGGGAGGTGCTCTTTCAATCATGTGACGTTCTCCTAGTTGTTAAAAGGATGTCCATTTAACTATTTTCCACGTATTATTAGGTTTACATATCGTTTAACTTTCCAAATCAATTCGTTCTTCTTGATCATTCCCTCGAGTAAACAATCAAAAGCAAAGAAATCAGCATTTATGCAAATCCCAGTGTACAAATAAATTTATCGACACGAACACTTTGAACACGAATATAAATGCCACAACCTGCCCGAAGGTCATTGCCGCTCATGTGTGAGCCACAAGGAAACACATCTACAACACGAAATGATCACACGTTTAATTTAACCACACCCCAAATGCTAATTAGCAGATCTGAAACACTAATATGAAAGTGAACATCCCCTTTTCGAGGGGTTATGCAAACAAAAGGCATCATGCAGGCAAACTAATTAGTTGAATGTTACACAATTCCACGTAGTTATGCAGTGTGGATGCACCCGTCTGAAAACATTTGTAAAACCTTCAGTTAGACCACACATGGACAAGGCCGAGTCTATTTCCGGTGTAGATCTCATTGCGCTCTTCATCATAGAAGAGAGCTGTGATGTCCTCCAGAGCTTCTGCCACAGTGTTCCTAATTCTAGAAGCCTGAATACGCTTCTTGGAGTTGCAACTTCTGCCACCACAATTTGCATTGCAACTGCAACCATCAACAGGAAGACGATTGCTTGCTTTTATTTTTGCTAGACACTTCCCTGTCAAGATATTGCTGATATTGATAGAACCCGCTGCACCAGTTTGTACACCATTAATATTTGCCCGCCAGATCATATTAAGACTAAATCAATGGAAACAACTAGAAAAGAAAATGTATGTTCCATCTCAATCTTAATCACAATTCAATAGATTTAATTCAGCTTAATGGACAAGCTTCTAATGGATGCTTATTTATTTTTGGTTTACAATGTCCCTTTTAAAAAATAAGAATCTTCAAAGTATCTATGTTCATCGAAAACATACCATTTCCTTCTGATAAGGGATCATCAGAGTCAGCTTTGCAATAAGAAATGATAAGGTCCTGATCACTCGTTATGTAAATGTTGTTGGTATTGCAATCAGGATGCCATAACAGGTGATCCTCAAATGAAGTCACAAGCTCCCCACGGAAGTTCCAAACAGCTACTGTTCGGTTTCTAAATGTCAGGAATAACTGGTTCTCATACAAAAATATAAATGCAGATGGAGTCATGAACTCTGTTCTGCTAACTTCTGTTAACTCAGAATTGCGGACCTGCATCAACTACAAGTCAGATTTTATTGGATTTCATATTGAAGTAACGAAACATGTGGGACTTACATCAAGAATCTGGAGGTTCTCATTCTCTTGCTTGACTAGTAGCTTTTCGTTGAACTGCTCAATGAAATCCACCTTCTTGTTTCGGTGAAGTAGATGGTTGAAAGATTTAAGAACAGTTCCATCCTCAATTGAAAGAATCTTTAGAGGAACATGACCGCTAGCCTTGGTAAATATTAGTAACATGATTCCTGGACTGTTTTCCAAAGGTCATGTAAGAAAAGCAGCTTAAGTAAATATGACATTAACATTACTCACTCCAACATCAAACTTTTAATGGTGAAAGAACAAATATACATTCAAATTAACAGCAAGCTTTTTTTTTTCTCTCTCAACTATCCACGGATCTCAGGTACCAAATGACACTTGGTATAATGCTCTAGTAGCTAGCTGTGACATGATGACATTACTCAACCATAGCTTCAGACACCAGCTTCACATGTTAGCAGAAGCAACACTTCACACAGTGCTTGTGTGCCTCTGCTAAACATTAACAGCCAGATTGAAATTTTGACCACTACCATTGGAAAACAACATAACATAATACACCATGTTCAGACAAGCTAACCATGCATGAACTTTTGAAAACATGCAAACCTCATGATATATAAATTTACATTTTACTGGCATGAGAACAGACCCACTCAGCAATTAGTTTATGACATATCATCCTAATAAATAAATGTAAACTTCAATTATCTAAAGGAGTGATAATCTTCTGAGTTGTTTTCGCCATAAATGTAAAACTAGGCAATCTATACCCTTGGCACACTTTTCCCTTCATAACTCAACCGAAAAATTACTCAGGTCATTGAGAGAAGAGACTTAGGCAGGCAAGTTATCCATGCTATGCATATATCACAACGGCACTAACTTTTTAGACAAAAGAAACAAACTATTTCAATTTGAAATTGTAAAGGTTGAATCATACTTAGACCACCAATTGAACGCATTCAAAATGACTATTCTACCAGATGCATAAATTGAAGCCAGCACATGTATGGATTGAACATTCACATAAAATTTACCTGATCTTAATCTCTTGAACATTTTTATCCGAGATGGAGTACAGCATCGTATAATTTTTCAAGTCAAACACCTTGTATATGCTGACACAAGAAGAAATACATATTTTAACAAACTGCAGCATTCTTGTGACAACACGGCGTGGGTTTTTAAGATTTACCTATCTTGTGCAGAATAAGTAAGAACCTTCCCATTTACATCATCAAACTCAACAAAACCTGGCCATTTCAATGATTCTGACTCAAAGAGAGGAAAACCAGCATCTGGTTTGCCCCTTCTTATGTATCTGAAATAGTTTGCGCCACGCATAAGTAAAATAGTGCAAGAATGAATAGAAATCATTGACAAATGATGCAAAACCCATACTCAATCCTCGTGGTTCTGCATTTCAAGGAACTAAAATTATCTGAAGCATAAACTGAAACGGTGATGAGTGAATCGTTATTTTTATTGTAGAATAAGCTCCTAATTACTTCATCATGACTGACATTCAAAAAGCATATCCTCTGATTAGTCTCTGCATCCAAGAAATACACAAGTCCCATTTCAATGCCAAGATCTGAAAAGAAAATATTGATGAAATTTTTTGAAAAGGTATTCTTTTTTTTCTTTATAAGCATGCACCTCGGCTAAATGCTGCGCAAACACCAGATTGAGCAAGAGCAAAGACAATGTCATGGGCAGCAACTATTTCAATAATTTGTGACCTCTTTGTGAGAAATGGCAACACCATGGAACAATGTCCCTTGGGATCATGAGTATCATATTCCTCCTGAATCCAATATATTTACAATGAGATCATAAAGAAAAAGAATTAAGAAAATAACGAGAATGCACTTCAAACTCACATTATACTATAAATTACTACTAAAATCTAACAATTATTGTAAAGATAATTTGCATGCCAGATGACTACGCCAAGCAAAAAACTGGAAGAGATGACTTGTGCCTAGCCATCATGATTAAAAAATCAAAACATATCTCTATATCTTCACAAGACATTCCAAGTAATTAGACTGAGTATTCAAACAGCCATTTACAGTATCCTCAAAGGGCAATAACTATTTATCCTCAATGGTGATGATCATCATGTTATGTAGCATTAAAAGATAAGGATGATAAATGAGTCACACATCCATACATTTAATTGGACTTGCCATTTCATGCCACATAACTTGTGTGGCAGGTGAAGATTACCCGTCAGAATATATAACATTACTCATCCTCAAATATCTGGAAATTAATTTGGCAAGTTCTTAATCCTTTACGCCAGCAAGTGAGAGGAAATTACTGGGGAAATGAGGTCAAACTTCAACTTTTCACTCAAAGCCAAGTATACATTTAAATATTGTTACCAACCAACATATAGTGCATGTTTGATAGAATTTATTTAGGAATAATGAGTTATGGAGGAGTACTTTTTGGAGAATGTGTGTTTAAAAAGTAAGGAAACTTTATTGGTTTGTGTATAGAATATTTTATTGTGTGAATGTGTGATGGAGAAATGATACTGCAGGAAACAATTTAACTTTTTAAAGGATGACAAACAGTGCCATATATAGAGAGAAAGAAAAAAAGAGAGGGCAATTGAAATGTGGAATACATGCAACATTCGAAGTCACTATCCTGGTTGCTGCATCAGACACCATCTTATCCTGTATATCCAAGATTATCATTATAACAATTTCCTTTATCAACTAGCAACTTCATTATACAAAAAATTTCATCTACTCTGTAAAAATTTTCAGCAGGTTTGTATTGATGTGTACAAAGCTTCAAAGGTGCGCATGCATGATAATTAGCAATTAAAACTCTTGGTGTGAATTTAACCTCTGTCTGGGCGCGATTTTGATGAGAAAAATCGATTCTTTTGGGGATATGTGGGGCCCTATCCAATTAATTAAGTTTTTTATAGACAATTTATGAGAATATCATCCCATCAATTCATTTGTCTTTTTCACCAACGACCATTTCGCCCTTTGTTGAATTATAAAGGTACAAACAAGTTTTTCAAGGCGACGGTGCATTTGGTAATTGGTTATTGCGTGTATAGTTTGTCAAAATCTGCAATGGGCAGATTCTTTTTGAACAAATATTTTATTATAAATCACTGTCTTAAAAAGTATCCGATTTTGATAATTAGCTGGTTTTTATTGAAACCATACACGGGCTTAAAAAGTAATGGCAAAAGGACAAGCCAAAAACTTTAACGAAAAGTATAACAAAACGGTAAGTTCATTAACTGAGGATTCCAAAACAACTCTAATTTCATCTTCGATAATTCAAAACTAATGTGTCAAACAGGCAATCTCCCACTGATGTTCATCAAGACCAGAGACCAATTGACAAGTGTTTCAGAGGTCATATCCACACTCCCAAAAAGAATGATAATCCCTCATCTCCCCCTTTTGCATGCAAAAATATGCTTGCATAGTGGATAACCATTTAATTAATGATAAAATCAAAATTACCCAGCCTTTTGGATAAATCTATTCTCAGGACATTTTCATATTTTCTGAAAGAATTTTCTTCATTTCATTCCTCTTTGACCAAGATCATAAACATTAACTAATACATTTCTGTTATTTCATGTCTGATATTCAGATCTACATATATGTATTAATAGCACAAGTAAAATTCAACTAATTAAACATGAGAAAAGCACAAATCTCCATCTAAATTGTTCTCAGAAATCCATAAAAAAATTAATAAGCACAGAAACCCTAAATTTTCAGCAAGGCAAAATTTAACATGAAAAATTCGTCTCGATTCTGGAAGATCAGTTTAGCAATCTAAGTACATAAAAAATACAACATGAAAACTAAAACTAACTAAAACTTTAAAAATACATTTCTTCACCAAACTAACCTGCAAAAGGATGTTGCGGAACCGTTCCTGAGCGTTGCTCATGCTGAAAGCACGGTCACGCTTAGAGCAAATCTCTCGCCTTTGGAGCTTCTTCACGCTGTTGACAAACCCATCAAAGCCCCCACGGGGCCGCTTCTTCGCCACCACACGTCGCCCACAACACGGTCTAGGACTCACCGTTATTCTCCTACCATCCATCTCAAAATCCAACGTCGATACGAACCTTTACAACAAGTCAAAACCCTAAAATTCATACACAGATACAAAACATACACATAGATACATGAACTTCTACCAAATGTATGTATCAAACGGAATCAATCGAGGGTTTAGTTCTTTTTTTATGTGAAGAAACCCCAAATCTCAGGACCCAGAAAAAAAAAAATAGGGGTTTACTCGCCTAAGGCCCAGAGATTGATTTCACATCAAACTCAGTTTCCAACTGGGTTTTCGAATTCTCTGTGTGTAGTTATACAGGCATGCATAAATAAATATATGTACAGACAAATTCTCCTCTCTCTGTTTTGCAGAAGTGAAGCTTTGTTCCGAGCGAGAGAGAGGCGGAGATATTGTATGCCGGATTTAAATTGGTTTCACGTCCGACCAGAATTCAAAATGACCGTATCTCATATCTGGATCTGACCTACGGTGCAATTGATTTTACTTTTTTGCTAAATTATCTTAAAATAAATAATTTGGCCTTTTCTTTTATATTTTTTTCTTTTTGTTATGTATTTATGTGTTGAACTTTGAGTTGATCGTGTTTCAATAAGGGTCCGTTTGATAGGCAAATGCGGAAATGAATTCAAATTCCATATTAGTTGGAAAATAAAAACCCACCAATCTCATAGGAATTCGTTATCCATGAAAACAAAGAAAATGCAGTTTAAAGTAGTTGTATCTTGGAATTCAATTTTCATTTCCACGTTGCAATCAAACGATCAAAATGGAATTCGTTTTCTTTGGATGTGATATTTTTCATGGAATTCGTTGCAATCAAACAGTGCCTAATAGCTTTTAGACCTAAAACTTCCAACTGATACATGGATAACTGTATCGTAATAATGGGGATGCTATCATATAGAGCACGTTCCTGAAGAAGGATATTGAAGCACATGAATATAAGTTATGCCTCGAAGTGGAAGAATTCTGATTTTTATTTTATTTTTTATGATTATATAGGCAATAATTCGAAAATGATTTTGCTACTTGTACATAATCGGTTATCGAAAATGATGTGAAAGGACTAGATTGGATGAAAAAGTTGATTATATTTTTAAATGGCAAATAATAGAGCGCCATGTGATATTATATGATCCCCTATATAAATTTTGATGTACATATAACAAGATCCATCCGAAAAATGCTTAATGAAAAATGGAGATGGAATGACGGTTAAATGGTTAGGACATTATATTTTAGAGATAAAGAAGGACGTGAACTTGAACATGTGTATACGTATGGTCTAAGTGAAGTAAGGAGCCTAATAGAAATGAGAATAATAGTTGACGAGGAACTCTCAAGTCTCTATATTTTCATTACGTTTCTTCACGTGATTAAAACGTTGTTTTAGAAAATAGCAATTGCGTGCTTTCTAAAAAGAATTACTCTAGATGAATAGGGCACGTTCTAGCACAACTCTTCCAAAAATCATAAAATGAATACAAGAACTTTATGTAAGAGTCGAAGCACCAAAAGGAGAATTGAAAATTTTTCTGATATGAGATTAGAGTGTTTTTCGCAGAGAGCTGGGAGAAATGCGGGGGTCGAGGTAAGACGACCCAATGAGATAACTAACAATTTTTAGAGCTCAACAAAACATGTACTCAACAAACAAAAAAAGTAAAAAAGCAATAATAGTGTGTTTGTTTTTACTGGTACTTTGTTAATTAGAAAGACGCGTCCACCTTCTAATGTGAAGGAATTGAGAAATATTAAGTCCTCGTTTGAGCCTCATTCTTTAAAAATTTTTTTAAACCACACATTATTTCAAGAAAATAATTTTACACATAAATTCAAAAAAAATTACTTTATAATACACAATTTTAAAAAATTATTATTTCTTACAAAATTTATTTTCAAAAGGATTTAAGCATCAAGTACATGAAATAATCAACAGATTTCATACAGGGTGCTGTCGTGGCGGCACCCTGTTTGCCTTTTTTCTTTTTCTTCTGCCTATGAAAATTCGTCCAAGTGTTGTTTCTGTAATTCTTCAGTGATTATTTCCTTTACTTGTAGCAGATTTCTTTCAAAAAAAAAAAAATTAGGCTCAAACAGGGGCTAAAAGTCAATCACGTGTGAGAGATTAATGACATAAGGACCAAATTTTCTATCCTTCAATTTGTTGAAATCTGTCCTGCAATATTTGGTTCCACAAAAGGTAATTGCAAACAAGGTTTCCAGCTTACTGGAAATGATTTGTCCATTCAGCAACATGAACATGGATCAGATTTTCAAAAGGAAGTTTGATTGTTATATATATATATGTGGAAGAAAAGGAAATGAAAGGATCTTCTGGAATTGACTATTATACATATACACGGGGTAAGAATGAAAATAAAACGCACAATTCCTTCATCATTTTCTGGCTTTTCTTTCATGGTATTAGAGCCAAGATGTCTCGAGATGATTCTTCTAACACAAATGCCAATCAAAATCAATCCTCAAACCCAAATCAAAATCATGACACGATTACAAACGCCATTGACCCATCACAGCCAAACAGTCCATTTTTTATTGGAAGTAATGATAGCTCTGGAGATACTGAATTTCAGCAATTATTATTCATCGACATGATCAATGAGAATGGGTCTTCGAATAAAAAATAAGCTGGGTTTCATAGATGAAACTATTTGTGAACCATCAAATACAGATAGTCCACTGCTGGAACATTGTCTCCGTTGCAATGACATTGTCATCACCTGGCTGCAGAACATGATATCAGTTGACATCAAACCAAGCATTCTATATGCTGAGACGGCTCATCAATTGTGGCTGGAGCTTGAGCAGCGTTTTGGGCAACAAAATTCCCCTCATAATTGCAACCTTGGCACAAATTCAAGACACTATGAGTATGTATTTTTCAAAATTGAAAACTCTTCTCTATGAATTAGTGAATTATGAGTCCATTCCTAATTGCACATGCAGGGGGTTGAAGGAAGTTGTAAGTAATCAAGAAAAAGATTAGGTGATGAAATTTCTTATAGGTCTTCATGATTCGTACGAGGATCTTAAGACTCAAAATTTATTGATTAAGCCCCTTCCAAGTCTTGACGAGGTATACTTTATCATATAACAAGAAGAAGAAGATAAGGAAAATTTTTGATGATGTTCCTACCAGCGAGATCATGGCACTTGCAGCCCTTGGAAAAGATAGGGGAAGACAAAATGGATTATCTCAGAAGAAATATTATTGCACTTTCTGCAAGATGTCAAGACACTCTAATAAGAGGTGTTTCAAAGCAAATCCCAATAGGCCGACATGTACACACTGTCAAATGCCTAGGCACACAATAGATAAATGCTTTAAAATACTTGGATACCCTCCAGGCCACAAACTTCATGGAAATAATAGAAGCAATGGAAGCTTTGCTATTCAAACCACTGCCCTTCTATCATCTGAACAGGAGCAAGTAAATAACAATGACCAAGTGTCTTTGACTCATGGGCAATATGCTCAGCTTATGGCTTTACTCAAACCTCAGCACACTCATACATTTACTCATTTGATTAATCAAGTCCAAACTGTCACCCCCATCCACTTCGAATCAGGCTGAAATCCCAAAATCTTTGTATCTCTCTATGTTTCTCGGTTAATGTAACGCCTCAAAAGTTTTAGAATAAAATTTTATTTGTTTTATATAGTATATTTTTAATATTTAAAAAAATGATGAGGACTAAAATGAAATAAGTTTTAAATTCCTATTTTATTTGAGCTAAATAATAATGTATCGATAAAGTGATAAATGTTGATTTTGATCGTGATAATCTTTTCATGATTTGGAGAGAGTTTGATTGAAATCTTAATTTGATAAAGTTTAAAAGTAATCATAATTCTATTTTTGAAATCAATTTTTATCAAAATTTCTTATATATATCGTTTTAAATTCTAGTTGTATACAAACTCAATTGAGAATTTTAACTACGGTAAGAATTCTCATTATTTCACCACAAAAAATAAAGAGAGCCACAATAGAGAGAAAATGACAGGAAAAAGTATAGAAAAATAGAAGATCTTTTACGATTTTATTATTTCCAACCTTTTAAAAATCAAGGTAAGATACTTTTGTACAAGTGGTTCGTTTCCTTATATTTTTATATTCAGTAATTTATACATGAATTACCAATTGACCTTTGGGTTCTTTAGAGATAATAAATCATACGGTAATTTAAGATAACCTAAGATGAGTGTATCAATTGATCACTGATATACTACATAAGAGAAGGGTGGTACGAAGTGTTTATTTTATTGTTATATAATTGTGCATGAAAATTGCACATATCTTACTGAGTTTTTTTAAATACTCACTCTTACAAAATTTGACAGGTTAGTTCAGGTCGATTGGAACAGTGGAGGGATGGTTATGCCAATGCCAAGAGGAATCGAAGAGATGAAACATTAAATTTATTTTTTTCCTTTAAATTATTGGCCAGTTTAATTTGTTCAAAGACAATTATTTAATTTGTGATTATGTTTTCATTATGGATATTCCAGTTATTTTTATTTAAAGAATATTATTTTATTATTCAGCGAAAATTAAATTTTTGGTAACACTCCAATGTTTGGGAAATTTTGGGGCATTACAGTTAATAATATCAAACCTAATGTTATCTCCAATGTGCCTTGGGTTGTGGACACTGGAGCGATAGATTACATGATTTGTTCGACTACATTATTTAAAACTATCAAGGAAGAAATTTCTCACTCAGTGGCACTCCCAGATGGAGATGTTGTCACTATCACACATATTGGAACTGTCAAAGTAACAGAAACATTAATCTTGGAAGACGTTTTATGTATTCCATCTTTTTCCTTCAACTTGATATCTGATAGGAAATAATTCAAACTTCTAAATGTTGTCTCATTTTAACTTGGAAGACGACTGGAATGGGTGAAGTGAGGCAAAGTCTATATCATCTTCTCCAACATGATGTTTCTCCAGCAGCTTTGAATGAAGCCTTATCTTCTCTAGCCA